TTCATGCCTTACTATACTGAGTTTTTATGCCTTTCATGCCTTACTATACTGAGTTTTTATGCCTTTCATGCCTTACTATACTGAGTTTTTATGCCTTTCATGCCTTACTATACTGAGTTTTTATGCCTTTCATGCCTTACTATACTGAGTTTTTATGCCTTTCATGCCTTACTATACTGAGTTTTTATGCCTTTCATGCCTTACTATACTGAGTTTTTATGCCTTTCATGCCTTACTATACTGAGTTTTTATGCCTTTCATGCCTTACTATACTGAGTTTTTATGCCTTTCATGCCTTACTATACTGAGTTTTTATGCCTTTCATGCCTTACTATACTGAGTTTTTATGCCTTTCATGCCTTACTATACTGAGTTTTTATGCCTTTCATGCCTTACTATACTGAGTTTTTATGCCTTTCATGCCTTACTATACTGAGTTTTTATGCCTTTCATGCCTTACTATACTGAGTTTTTATGCCTTTCATGCCTTACTATACTGAGTTTTTATGCCTTTCATGCCTTACTATACTGAGTTTTTATGCCTTTCATGCCTTACTATACTGAGTTTTTATGCCTTTCATGCCTTACTATACTGAGTTTTTATGCCTTTCATGCCTTACTATACTGAGTTTTTATGCCTTTCATGCCTTACTATACTGAGTTTTTATGCCTTTCATGCCTTACTATACTGAGTTTTTATGCCTTTCATGCCTTACTATACTGAGTTTTTATGCCTTTCATGCCTTACTATACTGAGTTTTTATGCCTTTCATGCCTTACTATACTGAGTTTTTATGCCTTTCATGCCTTACTATACTGAGTTTTTATGCCTTTCATGCCTTACTATACTGAGTTTTTATGCCTTTCATGCCTTACTATACTGAGTTTTTATGCCTTTCATGCCTTACTATACTGAGTTTTTATGCCTTTCATGCCTTACTATACTGAGTTTTTATGCCTTTCATGCCTTACTATACTGAGTTTTTATGCCTTTCATGCCTTACTATACTGAGTTTTTATGCCTTTCATGCCTTACTATACTGAGTTTTTATGCCTTTCATGCCTTACTATACTGAGTTTTTATGCCTTTCATGCCTTACTATACTGAGTTTTTATGCCTTTCATGCCTTACTATACTGAGTTTTTATGCCTTTCATGCCTTACTATACTGAGTTTTTATGCCTTTCATGCCTTACTATACTGAGTTTTTATGCCTTTCATGCCTTACTATACTGAGTTTTTATGCCTTTCATGCCTTACTATACTGAGTTTTTATGCCTTTCATGCCTTACTATACTGAGTTTTTATGCCTTTCATGCCTTACTATACTGAGTTTTTATGCCTTTCATGCCTTACTATACTGAGTTTTTATGCCTTTCATGCCTTACTATACTGAGTTTTTATGCCTTTCATGCCTTACTATACTGAGTTTTTATGCCTTTCATGCCTTACTATACTACTATACTATGACTTTTTTTTATAAATTTTCACGCCTTACTATACAATGACTTTTTATGAATTTATATGCCTATACTATGACTTTTTATGAATTTTTATGCCTTACTATACTATGACTTTTTATGCCTTACTATACTATGAAGTTTTTATGACTTTTTGTGCCTTACTGTACTTTGACTTGTATAACTTTGTATGCCTTACTGTATTATGACTTTTCATGTCTTTTATGCCTTACTATACTATGACTTTTGAGTACTTACTTTAGTATGACTTTTTATGCTTACTATATTATGACTTTTTATGCCTTACCATTCTATGACTTTTTATGCCTTACTATACTATGACCTTTTTATGACTTTTTATGCCTCACTATACTATGACGTTTTCATGACTTTTTATGCCTTACTATATTATAACTTTTTATGAATTTTTCTGCCCTACCATTCTATGACTTTTTATGCCTTACTATACTATGACCTTTTTATGACTTTTTATGCCTCACTATACTATGACGTTTTCATGACTTTTTATGCTCACTATATTATGACTTTTTATGACTTTGTGCCTTACCAATCTATGACTTTTTATTCCTTACTATATTATGATGTTTTTATGACTTTTTATGTCTTACTATACTATAACTTTTTATGACTTTTCTGCCTTACTATACTATGACTTTTTATGACTTTTTATGCCTTACTATACTATGACTATTTATGACTTTTTATGCCTTACTATACTATGAAGTTTTTATGACTTTTTATGCCTTACTATACTATGACTTTTTATGACTTTTTATGCCTTAATATATTAAGTTTTTATGACTTTTTATGCCTTACTATACTATAACTTTTTATGACTTTTCTGCCTTACTATACTATGACTTTTTATGAGTTTTTATGCCTTACTATATTATGAAGTTTTTATGACTTTTTATGCCTTACTATACTATGATGTTTTTATGACTTCTTATGCCTTACTATACTATGACTTCATGGCTTTTATGCCTTACTATACTATGACTTTTTATACCTTATTATACTATGACTTTTAAGGACTTACTTTATTATGACTTTTTATGCTCACTATACTATGACTTTTTATGACTTCTTATGCCTTACTGTACTATGACTTGTATAACTTTGTATGCCTTACTGAATTATGACTTTTCATGTCTTTTATGCTTACTATACTATGACTTTTAAGGACTTACTGTTTTATGACTTTTCTGCCTTACTATACTATGACTTTTTATGAGTTTTTATGCCTTACTATACTATGAAGTTTTTATGACTTTCTATGCCTTACTATACTATGACTTTTTATGAGTTTTTATGCCTTACTATATTATGACTTTTTATGACTTTTATACCTTACTATACTATGACTTCGTATGCCTTACTATACTATGACTTCATGGCTTTTATACTTTATTATACCATGACTTCTTATGCCTTACTGTACTATGACTTTTATAACTTTGTATGCCTTACTGTATTATGACTTTTCATGTATTTTATGCTTACTATACTATGACTTTTGAGGACTTACTTTAGTATGACTTTTCATGCTTACTATACCATGACTTTTCATGACTTTTTATGCCTCACTATACTATGAAGTTTTTATGACTTTTTATGCCTTACAATACTGTGACTTTCATGGATTACTATAATACAACCTTTCATGACCTTATAACTTACTATAGTATGACTTTTTCTGCCTCACTATAATATGACTTTTTATACCTTACTATAATATGACTTTTCATGCTTGATCGTACTATGACTTTTTATGCATTTCTATAGTATATATTTGGATGCTTTACTGTAAAATTATGTTTTATGACTTTTTTGAATGAATTACTATCCTGTGACTTTTGATGACTTACGATACTATGATTTTTTATAAATAACTATAGTATGACTTTTTATGGCATACTATGACCTTTTGTGACTCATTGTGTGACTTATTATGATTTACTATGAGTTTTTACACCTTACTCTACAATGAATTTTTGTACCTTACGATATTATGACTTTAAATGAATTACAATGACTTTTTCTATTTTGCTGTTATGACTTTTTATGATTTACTATGAGTTTTTATACCTTTCTATATATACTCTGACTTTTCAATGAATTGCTACACTGACTTGTTATGACTTACTATACTTTGACTTCTTATGTCTTACTATACTATGACTTTCATACCTTAATATATTACGATTTTTTATACCTTACTTACTATAATATGACTTTTTATAACTTACTATGACTTTTTATGACATACTATACTATGACTTTTTCATGACTTATAGTAAGACTTTTTATGTCTTACTATATGGTCACAGCCTGGCTCAATGGCTGAACAACCAGAAAGGAGAGACAACATGAGTTGGCAGGTAAGATTCTAATAATTTATTTACACAAAGGAAAATGAGTTGTAGGCCGACCAATAACTAAAAAACAATAAATAAAATAAAGGCCACAGCTTTCATCTGGGGTGCCAGGAGGGTTAGGACTGAATGGGGAAACCTTAACGCTTCACACCGGATCCAGGTGCACCGCATCAGGCTGATCCTGATCCCTGTACTGAGTGCCTGAAAGAGAAAGTGACAAAAAGAAACAGGCACACATAGTGCCCCGGTGGAGGGATCTTCACAATACTATACTTACAGTTTTACTCTTTGAGCTGTTACTGTGCATACTTTCATTTAAATGTAAATACACCCATACACACATTTTTATGCCTTACTATACTATGACTTTTTTATGACTTACTATGACTTTTTAGGACTTTTTATTTTTGTCTGCAGTAGGAATAAAAGGTCTTTGGTGTAAGTGCTACAGATTAGGGGACTGTTGGTTTTGGTGTTTTTGAGATTTGTCGACAATAAAGAGTGAAAATTAGAGAATCATCAGCCTCATTCTTTACATACATTAAACCATTTTCTAATTTCAAACTGGTGCAGTGGTCAATTACATGGTGGCTATGTGTCAGTTAAAGGGTTAGCCAACTGGATTAATTTCAATTTTGATATTTAGTAGCAATATTAAGTATTTGTTTGATCAGGGAAATACTTTCTTAATTGACTCAGCCAATGAGAACTCTAGTTGACATACACTGCACTGTGTGAACATCTGTGCTCATCAGTCAAAATGAATGAATGGTCAGAGCTTCATGTGAAAACTGCATCTATTTATATAAATCAGTGATTTTAGTATAAAACACATTTAATTACAAACATTTGAGGAAATGTAACCGTCGTCCTGACATTCACGTTACTACATCCATGATTTCACTCAATATTAGACATGTCCCTCGTCAGAGGTCTAATTCATTCATAGACCCTCTTCTGCATCTTAGTTTTATCAGTTTATTTCAACTCAAAAGAAACTTTAACCTCTTTGTTTATGGAATACCATTTAAATCAATATTTAATAAATACAGCTATGAAATAAATCCTTAAATAAGTAAATTAGGTAATAAATGTTAAAATATATAAATAAATGTAAATATAAATATATCAGTGAGTAAAAAAATACATAAAATTGCTTTGTATTTTAAAAATGACATTCATACTTATTTCTGGAGACTTTTATTTTTTAATACCACATTAATTTCCCAGCTTTTTATTTGCATCTGTTATATTCAAATGAGGGGGCGTGGTTATCTCACAGATTCAGACCAAAGCAACAGCACTGAAACATTTTTAAAACAAAAAGCAATTTATTTATTGATTTATATAGCTATTTACTCATTTATATATTTACATGTATGTATATATTTTGACCTTTGTTACCTAATTTATTTATTTCAGAGCTTATTTATGTGTTTATTGAATATTGATTTAGATGTCATTCCATATGTGTCACCATGTGATTCAGTCCTGCTCCTTCAGTAACCAGAGGCACAGCTGTGTCTGTATTATCAGTCTACTGTCCATGTCAGTCATCATCATCCTCTTCAGAGGAAGAGCGCATCACGCCACCACTGTCATCTCTGTAACACCGCGACAACAGGCGCAGCTGCTCCAGGGCTTCCTCGTAGTCGGCCATTTCGGGCCCCTGGGAGAGGAAGCTGGGGGCCACGCGGCGGATGTCAAAGGTGCTTGCGCCACGGTGCAGCTCCGAGAGCCACGAGCCGAGAACAGGCCCCGACTGGAGGGACGTCAGGACGGGTACAGAGGAAACCACAGAGGCCGGCGCTGCAGAGAGGAGAGTGAAACTTTATAACTGTCACATCCATGGAAGAAAAATCTCTTAATGGGGTGGTAGGAGACACACCCACAGATACAAGCCTTTTGGGCCAGAATCCACCAATATATCACAGAAACAGCAGGATAGATTATAAACTCTGAAACCCCAAACCCTTCGAGATATGGTAAAACCTTTAGCTAACTCAAGTATCATGACTGGCAAACAGATACGCTGCAGAACTATTTCAGGAGCCGGTTTCAGAACTGGGTCAGGTCAAAAAGACAAAGATAAATGGGGAAAGTTTCTGTGATTTCACTCATTGCAAGAGACTGAATGAACACAATCTTTAATTTTTGTGTACTGTCCGTTCCAACATGTTATTAGCATCTGGAAATAGACGTCTCTGAGGTGGTGGCAGTCATGAATGTGGAGGGATGGATGTGGTGATGGTGCCACGGAAACAAACTCATGGACACTGTTTTAATGTTTATTGTACAAGGACGATGATTCTTCATGTGACTGTGATGTCGGACAGGTTCACTGGACATTTCTATTTTTCCTTTGTTTGTTTGTTTATTCATCGACACAAAACTAAACAAGACGCAGAGAGAAATGTTTTAGTAGCAAATAAAAATAGAATATAAATAAACTCACAGCCGAGTGCGGGGGGCTGGCTCTGAAGGAAACCCTGATCATCGAGGGAGCGAGGGAAGATCTGAGGGAACGGTGGTGTCAGTTTACTGGGAGTCGACACCAGCCGCAGAGCGCTGAGAGGACAGGGGGGGGGGGGGGTTAAAATACATGTCCTGTTGGGGATTAAAGAGTTAAAAACATTCATCAGTGTAGAGACTCACAGAGGAGACGTGGGATAGAAAGATCTGATGTAGGACGCCAGGACGTCCTCCCCACTGTGGAGGCTGTGCAGAGGAGAGGGAGGTTTAGTCCCTGGAGTCAGAGCGCTGAAGGAGGGAAAATCATCAAGTCAGCAACACATGAAGAACACATTTCATTTCTAATATGATGGTTTCATTAGTCATTTTCTTCCTTCATTATTTATTTAATGCACTTGCAGCCTGTTGACTTCAGGTGTTTCAGCAGCTTCACTGATCAATAACCTCAATTTCAATACAATAACAGAGTTGCTCAGAAACGTGTGGTGGTCAAACTCAAAACAAGACCTCGAGTCCAGGTTCAGTTTGTTTAAGTCTGACTTCTCATTTTCTCAGTAAGACATTTCAACTGCCTCTGTCTGCTTGTCTGCATGTGATATATAAATAAAATAAGGTTATTATAAATAAAACATAAATGGTACGTGACGTATTTATTGATCGATTTCTGACCTGATGAGTCGCTGGCCCTCGAAGCCTTTGAGCGTCGCCCACTGGGCGTAACATCGACCGTCGCCCGGCTCAGAGCACGCCGACAGAGGTTTCCAGGGCAGAGCGTCTGTGCAGGCGCTGAGGGCGTCAGGGAGCGAGCTGCCGTGCATCATGGGAAAGGGGACGGCGCCGTAAGCAGCAACCACCTTTAATTTAAACGAACAGCATGAATGGGCGGGAAAACTAAAGAAAGGCTTTTTCCATCCTGCAGGTGAATCAGTCGTACTGAGGTAAGATCTGTGACTAATGTGTTTATTTATTTATTTATCTTATTATTGATTTATTGATTTTGTTTACACATTTGGTAAATCCTGCAGTAGATCTGTCATTAAAGGTCATTCAAGATCAAAAATGTTAAAAATCTCATTTACAGCTTTTCCATCAAGTGTCTCGTTCTACTGACTGTTTCCTGTATGTGACACTGTACTTCATACTGAAGCAGCAGTAACAGGCCGTAACAGTCAACAGTCACCAACAGTCAGTAACAGGCTGTAACAGGCTGTAACAGTCACCAACAGTCAGTAACAGTCACCAACAGGCAGTAACAGTCACCAACAGGCAGTAACAGTCAGTAACAGGCAGTAACAGTCACGAACAGTCAGTAACAGTCACCAACAATCACCAACAGTCAGTAACAGTCAGTAACAGTCACCAACAGTCAGTAACAGTCACCAACAGGCAGTAACAGTCACGAACAGTCAGTAACAGTCAGTAACAGTCACCAACAGTCAGTAACAGTCAGTAACAGTCACCAACAATCACCAACAGTCAGTAACAGTCAGTAACAGTCACCAACAGTCAGTAACAGTCAGTAACAGTCACCAACAACAGTCACCAACAGTCACCAACAGTCACTAACAGGCAGTAAAGGTCAGTAACAGTCACCTTCCTCCCCGACACGGCCAGAGTGTCGGCCACCTGCCACATGGGGGCGCTGTTGTTCCTCAGCCTGTACGGCAGCGTGAGGGCGTCCAGAGCCAGAGCCAGGACTGAGCTGGAGTGGTACCACAGTGAGGGCTGGGACAGAGGACAACATCTGTCTTTAGACAAGACGAGCTCAGATTCTAACTTTACATACATACATGAACATCTGTGTACATATAACAAGGTGAGTCTTACAATGTCCTTAATCACATCTAAACATTAAAGAAGTTTAGTTATAATCCAGTTTTAGTCCAAACGAGTGGTGAAAAGACGGTTTTATGATCCTTTTATTTCCATTCATCATCATATTTCTGTAAATTTAATGTAAATGTTTAACTTGAATTTAATTAAAACCAAGTCAATTAAAATGTCTAAATGCGGCCCTGACCATGTCTTAAATATTTAAACATGAGTCAAAATATCAAAATTGGCTTTAAATCACTTAAAAAGACTAAAAAACAACTAAAACGTGCTAATACACTTAGATTTAAAATAAAATGAAAAGCCTCACATCGTAGTTGAGGTGGGGGAAGGCTGTGGGGGAGGGGGGCCGTCTGCCCAGGCCACCTCTCAGAGTCAGCGGGCAGAAGAAAGAGCTGTGACTGGACAGGTGAGCAGTCGCTAAGGTGCAGTTCAACAGGTGATAAAAGTCCTTCACTGGAGTCTGGAGGTGAAACACACGACGACACGACGCTCGTTAACAAAACGGCTCATTTAACACAGACGCACAACAACAACAACACTCAGTCTGACACTCACTGAGTTGGGGTGACTGACAGGAGCTAACCCCCAGGTCAGGATGCCTCTCCCGCTGTAAGAGTCCAGCAGCATCTCTGTGACCTTTGACCCCAGGCCTGCAAAGCCATCAGCCATGTCACACAGCACCTGGAAACCCTGAGGATTCATATAAAACACAAACAGATCAGAATGTTGTGATGTGGAAAATATACGTGCAAAACAAATCTGGGACAATAATGATCTTTATTCATATTTATCCAGATGACGACGAACATAGGAAGAATAACATAAATATAAACTAAGGTAAAACAAGCAGGTGCTGCAGGTCAGAGAGCTTAAATATGAAAAGAAAAATTTAACATTAAAATAAAATATTTACAATAAAACTTAAGAAATATTATAGGAAAATACAAATATATACAAGACAGTCAGAAAGTCATTTTTTTCCACATTTTTATTGTGAAGAAATATAGAAGAAATTTACTGTATTTCATCTGAAATGTTTCTCTTCATATTTAAGCTCTCTGACCTGCAGCAGTTACATGTGTAGGTTGGTTAGGAACTAAGAGCATCAGTGATATTATAAAATGAATTTGTTACAGAACAAATTAATATTTCATAAAGGTCAACACAAAGAAAAGAGTGAGACACAGAATTACCTGAAGATAATCACACTCCTCCACAAAGAAGTGCAGTTTGTCCTCCAGGTCCTCCAGCACCGCCCCCTGCAGCAGAGCCTCCCCCTGACCGAAGGCCTCCAGCCGGTGAGCCTCCCTGCACCCCCCCACACAGGTATAATGTCTGAATATACTAGTAATAACTGGTTTATTAAACTCACAGAGTTAAAGAGGAGGAAGTCTGCAGTTTGAATGAGTTAGGAGGAAAACTTGTAACTGCCGTGATACGGTCACACCTGTGTTTCTGTTCAGCTGTTAAAAGGTAAATCAGCTGCTGTGACATCACTGAGCTGCATCACACTTAATGATTAAACTCTGTTTTATTAAAGCCTGACATCTGCTGGAGAAACGCAGGTACTGAACAATCAGTCTGACGTCGGCTGGTTCTTGGTTTGAAGTGATGAGGTTCTTGATCCTTGACCCGGGTCTTCACCTCAGGCTTCAGCTGCATTTAGACTTTACTTTTAAACATGCTGCGTCATGTAAAGAGATATGAAGCAGCGGAGAACGAGAACAAAATGAAGTTTAGATTTGCAACTACTCGTCATGTTTTCATGTGAAGGAAGTTTGTTTTAACTGAGAGAGGGCAGAATGTGTTGATTTGTAAAACATCAGTTTTGCTGTGAACATTTCAAATTCTCGTCGCTGTCTTTTGAAAAATCATGTGAATTCATAAAACAACTTTTCCTGAGTCAAGACAAACAGTCTGTTTTCAGCTTCAGTCACTGATTTTTAAATGTTCATTCTTCTCAACCGATAAAGGAAATACTTCGTCCTTTAAAACATTTAATAAATAATAAACATGTTTTTTTACGTGAGTGAAACTTGTATTGAAGGAACTGCAGCTACTGAATCAGACTTTTGTTGTCACTTAAAAGTATTTTCTAATTGCACTTTTCTACATGTTAATATAAAACTGTGATACTGTTTTTCATTTTCTTTTGGTATTTAATGCACAATCAGTCGACTACACTTTATTTTTCTGATTCTCCATGTTATTGTCTGATGATCAAAACTAACCAGAGTTTGTTCTGCAGATTTCAGATGAGGTTTATTCTGTCTTCCTCTTTTTAATCTCATCATCACAGTAATTATATCAATAATGACCCAAGTTTTCCTTCCTTCTGTTCAGCAGCATGTACGAGGTGTGGCGGCGCTCTTTACCCGTCGTGGTTGTACTGGTGGATGACGGAGATGGTGCGGGGGTGCAGGTGGATCCGGAGGAAGTCGGACCACACCTTCACGTTGCCCTCCAGCCTGTAGCCCTTCTGGACCTGAGCCAGCCGACTGTTCACTGTGTCCACACTCAGTGAAGCTGCTGCTGGGAGGGAGACAGACAGAGACGTGTCGATCGGATCATATTTAGTCTAACTGAGGTTACAGCAGGTTTGTTGAGGTTTCATTTACCTGAGCGCTGAGGCTGAGAGCTGCAGGAGAAATCAGCCTCAGCGAGTATCTCTCCCTTCTAGAAACAAAGACCAGTGTTAGGACCAGACACTGAACTGTGTGAGGATGTTCATGTCAAGCAGCAAAAAACAGCCATTTACCAGCTGATGTTTTCATGAGCGATGATCTTTGGTTTTCTTCAGATCATTATAAAAATATAAAACATAAAAATCACTAAGTTCACTACCAGATACTTTGACGCACTATCATTGGATCAGTTCACCTTAAACGTCTTCACAGGCTGAAGCTGCTCAGACTCTCAGCTTGACCTCACTGTCTCAACACTCATGATAAATGTCATGAATCATTAAGCTGCAGCTCAGTTTTTCATTTCCAACATTAATACTCACATCCAGTTTGTCCAGATCCTCCAGGAAGGAGTTCTTAGCAGGAGGACTTTCTTTATGCATCATGAGGCTCCCCTCCCTCCAACACAGAGCACACTTTACATTTTATAGCAGTGCAACAGATTCAAACATTCATAAGAAAAAAGCATTTTTCAATATGAAATAATTGAGTAAACCTAAAACTGTAGCTCTGTCAGTGACGATTCTCTGTATGTACTATTATCAAACACAGAATATACATGTAGTGTGCAGTTTAAATCAAAAGGATTCGTTGGATCTGCTGATTTACCATGTGACAGCTGACGTGTCTTTGCCTGGGTCATACAGACTTCCCTCCTGACGCAGAGTCCGCAGACTTCCTGTCGTAGAGACGGAGCATCAAACAGCAGCGTCAGTTCAACTGATGACAACAGAAATCTTTGCATTCAGTCTTTAGATTTACCTCGAAACGTTTCAGTCACAACAGCAGGAATAAATCAGCTTAACGTTGCTGTTAAAATAAACTCCAGGAGCACAGAGGACGCTTTACCTTTGAGATCCATGGCGATGAGGCGAGGTGTGTAGGTGACGTGTCCGCCCAGAGTCTGTCCCTCACGAAACACGACATCGTTCTGGATCTCACCCAGTGGCGTCTCGGGGTCGTATGACAGAGATGCATCCTGGGAACACAGAGAAGATCATCTTTATTTATCTGCCAGAGTTGAAGCTAACATACAGTACTGCGCTTAGATAGATGTTTAGTTTCTTATCACACGACATCATCAGGGAGACGTCTTGGGAGGGTCATAAAGAGCCATCTTTAGAGAGAAGAAGAAGAAGAAGAAGAAGAAGAAGAAGAAGGAGAAGAAGGAGAAGAAGAAGAAGGAGAAGAAGAAGAAGAAGAAGAAGGAGGAGGAGGAGGAGGAGGAGGAGGAGGAGGAGGAGAAGGAGAAGAAGAAGAAGAAGAAGAAGAAGAAGAAGCTTAACAAGGAGTCCGACCCCACAGAGAGCAGATCTACATCATGGAGTCAGTCTGGATCACATGATGCAGGTTCTCCAAGATGCTGGAACACACCTGTGTGCAGGTGTACTGAGGAGAGCTGATGCTGTTTTAAAGTCAGTTTTAAAAGTGTTTTTTCTGTTTCCTGCAGTTTTTATGAAGTTCATTTATAAATTCAAACATTATTTTTAAAAGCTGAAGATCCACACTTTACTTTTCGTGCCTAATACATTTACACAGCACTGTTTATGATATTACTGACATATAATTATTGATGCATGAATGTGTGGATTACTTTAATGTTGCAGCTGGAGCTCATTTAAACTACTTTATCTGCTGCTGGATAACTTATGAATTTCTCCCCAAGGATCAATAAAGTCTGACTCTACTCTAACTACTTTTTCATTTAACCTGTGAAGAGATTCATCTGAATCTTCTGCGCAAGAATTTCACTAAATGAAGAGAATAAAGAGATTTTCTGTCCTGACACTGGATCATTAGCAGCGTTAGCTTCATTAAATCTGGTGGCTAACGCTATTTCTATGTTTTAACTGCTGTAATAAACTTTATTAAATCACGTCTCCTCCTCTGTGTGTTTACAAACATCATAATATCCACTTTCCTGCTGCAGAAACAGCGACAGTTTCTAAAGTCTCACACATGCAGAGCTATCGCTAGCTAGCTTAGCTTAGCATTAGCCGCTAGCTCTCCTCACCTGTAAGTTCCACCAGTGAGTCCCCACAAAGTTGGAATAGTGTCCGAGCTGCAGAGTGATGACTTCTCTACAGAGGCCGCTCATCGTGACGGATCAACGCTCAGAAACAGAAGACATGAAACTCTGTTCTCCGGGTTTGATGGACATGTTGGAAATGACAACACTGAACAGAGACACACTAACCCAGAGGGGGAGGGGCGGTTCTCATGTGAACGCCTTATTTCTATTGGCTGAAAGGAAAGTAAGACGAAATGTGATTGGATGTATGAATGACGTAAGACTGGTAGCTCGGTTTCACTGCGCCTCAGCTTCACATGTGCCGTAAACAGCCAAACATCCGTCACACTGATGATGTTCATCAACCTGCATCTTTTCTCATGTTTCAAGAAAAGATTTTATATTTTGTTTTTCCTCAGAGTGAAAATGAGAGTTGTTGCTGCGCATGCGCAGCTTTATGTTATAGTAGACCCCCCCCAGAAAAGGAATAAAAGTTCAAAATATTTTATTTTACTGTTTATGTTCATGAGGGGAGTAACACACATTAACCCAGGGAAAAAAAGTCAACGGACAAATTAGATTTAGAGTTTTTTTTAGTTTAAGAGTAAAGTCCCACAAAACCACTAAAGACAGGAAATGAAGTTCCTGTAAACAAAACGGAAGCTGATCTATAGCTACAGTTTCAAATAAGTTAAGCCAAAGAAAACTACTAATCAAAATAAAACAAGCAGTTTATTAAAATAATAAAACGTATTTGTAAATAATCAATGAATAAAATGAATCAATAAATCATCATTTTTCTAATAAGTTTTATTTTGTAGGAAAATGAACCAACCTTGGTGCAGTCATGATTTGTTTTCAGCCAAATCCTACATCTGCTGAATTTAATCATCTAATATCTGAAAACATAAACATGTTATTGATGATCAATGATTCTCTACACGTGTGTGAGCAGCTGGTTTTTATTAGAGACACTTCAGACTGTGGTGGACATCAGTGATGAAACAAAGACTTTTCATATCTGAGATTCTCAGGTGGCTTTTCTCACAGACTCTGGTGGATCAACTGAGTCAGGCCAGATTATTGATTATTGATTTCAGGTTTTACAGGTTGTCAGTGAAGACGGAGATGTAAGGCTGAAACCAGCTGCGGACCTCCTCCATCTTCTCCCCCAGGGTGGACCTCATGTCGGTGGCCGTTTTCTCAAAGGACTCCTTGACGCCTTCGGCTGTGAGCTGGATCCTGTCCTTCATGTCGTCCACCTGGGACTTCAGCAGGTCGTTCAGGGTGGTGATCTTGGCCTGAGCGTTGTCTCGCACCTGAGTGAAGTAAGGGTCGAAGCGTGTCCTCATCTCCTCCACGTTGTCTGAGGTTCTGGACTGAAGGGTTTCCATGTAGTCAGAGACATGTCTGAGGGAAGGACGGAGGGTCGTTTACCATGAGACTCAAACTTGGAGGAACACATCATCATCATCATCATCATCAATCATCATCATCATCATCATCATCATCATCATCATCATCATATAAAACACCCAGGTGTTATTGTGTAATGTGGGACTGCAGCTTTAAAAATACTTTTACAGGTCCATTCAAAATCAAACTTAAACAAAAGAACATAAACATTATCAGCAACATTTACTTAAAAGTTCAGGTGCTGATAAAATAAGATTTTCCTCAAAGTCTGAGTAAAGGTTTCCTTAAAATAAAAACTGCACCTGAATGCTTCTCCTTAAGGTTTCCTTAAAATGTTCACTTACGTATTTAATGTTTTCTCCTTATCTTAGTTTTATATTAAAGGAGGCAGTTAAACACCTCAGAGACCAAAGGTCACCTGGTGAGTAAGTTCCCGCCAAAACAACAGGAGGATGAGATAAAAGTGCGTCTTTAATGTTACCTTCTTCACAAAAGAAATAACAGGTCGGCCTATCACAAGTACTAATGGCAGCAAATCAACTGTCTCCATGGAAACAGTAGAACTTTTCTGCTGTAAATTTTCTTCCTTAACTGAATTGAGGTTCCCTTTAAATAAAAGCACCTTTAACCCTTGAATACTGTTCAGGTCAGATTTGACCCGTTCTGACATTTAACAGCAGTAAAAATACTTTAAATGTCTTTTATGACTTTTTCCTAAAGTGATCCAAAATACACAAAAATGAAAATAGAAGATTATAAGATTATAAAGGAACCTGAGCTGCCACTTCACTGACTGAGCTTATGGCAGCAGACAGACGGAGCAGTGGATGTTTTTCTCTGTTTATACTTTCTACATAAATCTGTAGTTCTATATTATTATGAGACACTTATTATGAGCAGTTCTTAGTGTGAAGGCAGAAACATGAACAGTATGAGAGGGTTCAATCTTCTCCTTAAGGTTTCCATGAAGTTCCTGTGAAGTTCTGGTCAAAACATCACACTCCTTTAATGTTCCTGACTTCTTTGATAAAAGGTTTAAGCTAATGCAAACAAACGGTCTCCAAGGAAACTGCAGTAAAATCTCTTTCCCTGCTGTAAATTAATGAACTTTTTTCCTTAACTAAGGAAACCTTTTAAGAGATTCTCTGCAACACCCTTAAGTACCTCCCCCAGCTGAGGGGAAACCTTGAGTGTCATTCTTAAATAGAAAACTTGAGGTGTTTTGTGCAACTGGCCCCTGGATTCATTTCCATCTGTGTCCCTGGTGTTTTCACAGTTTAATGTTTCTGTCTGAAGAAATATTTAAAAAATAAGATTAAAAAAACAGATTTTCTGTCAGAAGCAGATAAAGGGAAATCAACCATTTAAAAAAACAATCACATCATAAAGAACATGAATATATAGAATATTTGTCTCATAATAACAACAGCAACAAATAACACACATAAAGAATTGAGTGTATTCCGGAGCAGCGAATGATGATTATTTTCATTATCAAATAATCCAGTTATTTTGACGATTACATGATTAAACTTTTTGTCCTATAATGTTGTAAATAGTAAAAGAAAACGCTCATTATTGTTTTTTTCCCTCACCACAGTTCAAAACCTGAAGATATAAACCCATGATAAACAATATATTATAATATTTGTGAATTTGTTTTGCTTGAAAAATACTGGAAATCAAATCATCAATTAGACGAGGGATTTCCAATCGATCAACTAATCAATTTGTTACTGCAACTGCAGAATTTTCAAATGAATTCACTTTATTCCACCAGGATCTTTCACTATCAATCAATACTATCAAAAACAAACAATATGACAATTAAAACATGAATCAGAATTTAAATACAGATCAATACAAAGTGTTTGAGGAAGCAGCTGAAAAATCAAAGTGTAATTCTTTTGTAGAAGTTTTTGAAAATCTTCCATGAGAGAAAGTTTAGTTTGTAAAACTATCTGAGCCTCTCACTGGACACAGTTTCCCATCATCCTCCAGTGCCCCCCCCCCTCAGTGCCCCCCCCCCTCACCTCTTGATCTCCTGTGTGTCCTTGTTGAGGCGTTTCTTCAGCTTGCGGGAGTAGGCGTTGACTCGGACCCTGACGTCTTCTACGTTCTGCTCCATCATGGTCTGCAGCTCCTGGTGGTATTTCTCCATCTGCTCCCGGGCCTCCCCCAGGTGGTCGCGGAGCTTGTCGCCCAGCTGCTGCAGGTCTGTGCCCAGACGCTCTGCGGCCTCCTGGGTGTAGGGGGCCAGCTTGGTCTGCACGTCGTCCCTGTACATGGTCAGCTCCGACATGCTGTCCTGAATCAGGGTGCTGTGAGGGGGGGGGCAGATGGTTTTAGGGGTTATGTTGGTGTTTTTGTGAAGTAGTCTGAGGGGGGTTCAGACTGAGTGAATCAGTGTGAGGTCATAAGGTCATACAGTTATGTACGATATGAGTCATTACTGAACTCACTCCAGCTCTCTGCCGATCTGAGAACTCCTCGCGTCCTTCACCATCTCATCCGCCTTCGAGCTCAGGTCTGTGAAGTACGTCTGAAAGTCGTCCAGCGCCTCCTCCCACGAGGTTTTCTGAGGGACGCTCCTGGCATGGCAGCCTGGTTCAGCAAGGAGAAACAAGCATCATGGAAGAAACAAACCTTCAGCTTTTAGATCTGAACCACATGAGCACAGAGGAGGACAGACCGCTTTCCAGTCTGAGGAAAAGAGACGCAATAAATCTTCTGTCCTCCCTCCTTCTTTCCTTCTTTCCTTCTTTCCTTCTTTCTTTCTTTCCTTCTTTCCTTCTTTCCTTCTTTCCTTCTTTCCTTCTTTCTTTCTTTCTTTCTTTCCTTCTTTCTTTCTTTCCTTCTTTCCTTCTTTCCTTCTTTCCTTCTTTCTTTCTTTCTTTCTTTCCTTCTTTCCTTCTTTCCTTCTTTCCTTCTTTCTTTCTTTCCTTCTTTCCTTCTTTCTTTCTTTCCTTCTTTCCTTCTTTCCTTCTTTCCTTCTTTCCTTCTTTCTTTCTTTCCTTCTTTCCTTCTTTCCTTCTTTCCTTCTTTCCCTCTTTTACTGCAGCTCTCTCACATTTTATTCACAAATTGTATTTTCTAATCAATGTTTGTGTTTGCGTTTCTTTTTCTTCTTCACTAACTGTGTCAATGAGAAGTTTTTGTTTGTACGTGAGATTTTGAACTTACCTGATAAAACTGCCAGGACAAGGATTACTGCAAAGACCTTCATGATGACCAGACAAATGGACACCTGGAATATGACACCAGAAATAAACAACACAGATCTCAACACTGACACACAGGCTTTAGAAAAAACTGTTTACTTACAAATTATTATTATTATTAATTTCAAGACATTTTTAATTCAGATTTAACATCTGAATCAGGATTTTCTGCGTCTTTGTTTTATTCAGTAATTAAATCAAAAAAATCAAACTCTTTATATTTTTACTTTAAATAAAAAATAATGCTTAAACATTTAAAACAATTAAAATGTTGGTCCACCTGAGCAGCGGTTTCAGGTTGGTAGAAAGTGCGAGTCTCACCTGGGTGATCCTGATGACGTCTGTGACCGACTGAGCTCTTCACTCTGTATTTATACTCTGCAGGTGATTTGATGTGATCCAATAAACGTCAGGAAGATCGCTGACCTGCGTCCGAAGTTCCCAGCGTGAACTGTGTTGTTGTCAGATTTTATTGCTGTGTGTGTTATTTCGGCTCCACGTCACAGAGGGAGAGTTCACAGGCAAACACAGGCCGAAGCATCTGATCTCAGCTGCTTCTGAAACCTCTGAGGAGGAACGCTTCAACAGTTTCACACAGATCCTTCAATAAACTGTGACTGTGTCTGAAGAGTAAAAACGCTGCAGCTGCTCCGTCACATAATCAGACTGTCACAAACACAGAGCTGCTGATAGAGCAACAGGAACAAGGACAAAAGTCACTCGGCTCATACAAATCACTGTTCAGCTGCTGTGGTTCAGAGTCTGATCCTGCATGTTTTATAAGATGGGACAACTTCCAATAATCCACCCCCGTCCACACTGATCAATCAATAACCCTGTAAAGGTGGAAATACCTTCAGTGCAGCTGGTAAAATAAACAGCCATGAGGCATTAAAGCAGATTCATGGACAGTGTGTGAGACCTTCAGAGCATTAACATGAACAAGTCAAAGGTTTTCTAACGCTGACACTCGAGTAAGATCTCAGAGGTGTGAGACGAGTCAGAGGTTTTCAGAATTTATTTCCTCTGATCTTGTAAATTACTGGATCATTTCATCTTTAAAAGTAAATTAAAGGAGCAGTGTGAAGGACTCAGTGGCCTCCAGCATCTTCTCTGAGCAGGTAGGAGAAACTACGGCGGCCTGCAGGTGACCTCCTCTAGAGCTGGTGTCTGGTTTGGTACGGTGGCCCTGAAGCTCAATCATCAGTTTGACACATGAGCTGCAGATCCTCACACACACACCAACACACACACAACCACGCAGCACAGACCACAACAAGTCAGAAACACTGTGCGTCTCAGCCGGGTCCGTCCCTTTTTAGTGTCCCCTGGAAACACTTCCGCTGTGTTGTGAGCACTTGCAGCTCACTTTGAATTGAATTGTGTGTTTGCATGTGTTGAGCTCTCAGGGCCACCATAGTCTGTAGAAACATGGCGGTGCAACATGGCGGACTGTGCAGAAGAGAAGCCGCTCCATCACATCCTGTGAATCCTGGACACTGGTCCTTTAAATAACAGAAGGGAATTCAACCAATGAGGTAGTTTTATTTTGGCGAGTCACAGTTTGGGAGCCACAGACTGAGGCTGTTTATATTCAGGATGTCTGACATGATTCAGGTTGACTCAAGACTTTCTACATCATCATCATCATCATCATCTAAAAAGTGACGCAGCAGTGGAAACCAGCCAATAAACTTACAAAACGTTGATATGTTATCATTATTATTATTATTGTTGTTGTTGTTGTTGTTGTTGTTTTCACAGTGAAGCTTACACATGCCACCTGCTGTTTGTTGCCTGATGAACTCTTTATTTTGCATTTGAACTTTTTGTGTTTCTTCTGATTTGATTTTAACGTGTTTATTTCTTTAATTCTCCTGTTGATCTGAAGCAGCAGCTGCTGCTCTGTGGAGAAAATCAAGGTGACGTGATGTTTCTGACCAACAGGAGTAAATACGACGCTGTGACAGTAACATGAGCAGACGTCAACAACGGGACTCGTCAGTGTCAGTGATGAAGAATAATGTTTGTTTAAACCATCAGTCTGTGTCACAGCAGCCTGATCAGCTGTAGCAGTGAAAACATGAGTGTTGAAGAGATCAATGCTTCATTCACTGTTTATGAATTCAACTTTTCACCAGTTGTAACTTCACTTTAACCTTCTTCAGTGAGTGATACAGAACCTCAGTGTTTATTGATCAGCTGTTCAGTCCTTACAGACACTCAATGTCTTTTCTTAATGATTGTGTTTGTTTTGTTTTTAAAGCTTTTAAAGTTTTTCATTTCAAATATAAAGAAAAGTTTCGTGACAAAATAAAATTCCTTGAACCTATTTATTGTTTGACAGAAAAAACTTCCAGTTGTAAACAGTCACACAAAAGACAGAATACTGTATAAACATAAAGAACATGAGCTACTGGACTCTCTCCACCAGAGATCAGTGACGACGGATCAGCTGTTTGTTTACTGGGTCAGCTGAGTGAAGGACTCCCACAGAGCAGCCAGCTGCTTCTTCAGGTTCTGGACGTCGGTGTCCAGCTTGTCCTTCAGCTCCTCTCCGTATGGAGCCAGGTTCTGCTGGAGCTCCTGGGTCTTCTGCGTCAGCTGGGTCTGGAAGTTCTGGGTCAGGGGGATCATGCTGGTCTGAAACTCCTCCAGACTCTGCTCCATCTTCTGCTTCATCTCCTGGGTGTAGGGAACCATCTGGGCCTGCAGCTGCTGCACGCTCACGTCCAGCTGGCCCTTCAGCTCCTGGCTCTTCTGCAGCAGCACGGCCTTCAGGGCCTCTGGGTCCATGGCCTCAGCGTAGGGGGTCGCCTCCCTCCTCAGCTCCTCCACCTGCTTCTGGAGGCGTGCCACCAGCTCCTCGGCGTAGGGCTTCAGGCCGGCGCTCACGGTGGTCAGATCTTTCTCCAGACGGGCCTTCAGCTGCTCGGCCTCCTGGGTAAACTTAGACATGAGGTCCTGGGTGAGAGGAGCCACCTGAGTCCGCAGAGCGTCGGTGAACTTGTTGACGGCGTCGGTGCTCTCAGAGATCAGGCTGCTGCAGAGACAGAAAGTCTGTGTGTGAAATCTGACTTTAAAACATTACAAACTAAATCAACAGAAATGTTTCTTTTTAAAGGACCTGGACACTTTTTCTCCATCAGTTTCCTACTTTCACTTAAAGTTTAATCAGTTTTAACATCTTTTTTCCTCCGGTCTCCTTGTTGCTCTAAAGTGGGCGGGGCTCACTGAGAAAATTGATTGACGATTGATTGATGAATTGAATCTGATGTTGCTGAGTGTGTTGTTCGGTCACTGGTCAGACAAACAGTGATGATCACTCTTTCTCTCACTGACATCTCAAACAGTAAAATATCACTTCTTACTTCACGTCCCTCCCCAGCTCAGACCGTCTGATCTGCTTCAGGGAGTCCTCGGCGGTCATGGTTGCCCTGGCAACGTAGTCCCAGAAAGCATCTTTGACCATGTCCACCTGGCGTTGGGGGGGACTCTGCCACACGAGGTTCGCATTGCAACCTGAAGGAACAGAAGAGCTTTCACTGTCACATGTTGTTGAAGCTTTAACACCTAGAAAAAGTTTCCAGCAGAAACGGGGATCGAACCTGTGAACACAGCGAGCACGAGGAGCACTAGGAGCTTCATGACTGATTCTGCGGCTGAAAGGAAACATGCTCATTATCTCTCTGTGCTTCTCTGTGGTATCTCAGAACAGCAGGAGTGACAGGGACCGGTGTCTTACCTGAGCTGGAGTCTGTGAGCGTCCTGCTCACCGCTCTGTATTTATAGGCAGCTGATCCGTGTGGCGGGAACAGAGTAAAGTCCAGAGCCGAGTGTCGAGCTGTCACTGCTGCTGCTTCCACATCAGACACATCATCAGCACGTCTGACCAAACCTCACATACATGTTGTTTTACACCTGAAACACAGACATCTACTCTCAGCTGATTTATTGGGTTTAATTCCGTCTTTGTTGAGGGAGCAGCTGCTGTTGAGTCTCAGCTTGTGATTCTCTAGATAAAGAATTGATCAGTGTGACATTGTGTGCATCTGTATGTGCACACACATCTGTTCTTGCTCTCAGGTTTTTGATGCTTCTCTTTCACTTTTTTTATTTTATGTCTCAATGTTTTTATGTTTAATCTAATAATTTATCTTACATCTGTTTTACAGCCTGGTTTTGGTTTTCAGTTTTATTTTCAGCGTTTCCTTCCTGTTTCTCTTCCTGAGATTTCTTCAGTTTTTTTCCATGTTAAAGGTTGTTATGTTATTAAATGTTATTAATGTTGTAGGTATTTAAAATAATGAAGACATTTATGTTTTGACCTGATGATGACATAAGAAGAAAAGTGGATCACCAAGGTTATTACAGTTCATCCTGAGGGGAATAAGAATGAACCACGTCATGGAGATCCATCTGTTAGTTAAAGTCAGTTATGTAATATAGTTATATTTATATTGATAGTTATATTTATATTTGTATTTATATTTATAGTTGTAGTCACAGCCTGAGGACCAGACTTTATCATGTTGATAAAAAGCCTAAAAAAGAAAAAGGAACATATTGTATATATATTTTATATAATAGCACATACTGTACTATTATATCAAATATAAGAGACACATAAACACACATATCAACTAAAACTGAACTAAACTGGTTGATAATATAATTTATTACTGATCACATTAATAAACTGTTGAAGAACAATCACACAAACATTATCATCTATAAAACATCTGAATAAAACCAGAAGAATCCCAGAGTTGATTTAATGAGACGTGAACGTTGGTTTCTCATGTGTGATCAGCTGTGACAGAAACTCAGAGTAAGATCATGTGATTATTAATATTTCACTCTGTTACCGATTAAAACTCGTTTACTCTGTAGTTTTAACTAATCGATCGACTTCAGCGTTGTCGATCTTGTTGTCGGGGGTTTGTAGGTCAGCGAGGTGTGAGCAGGACTTTGGTCCAGTTGTTCCTCTGACCTGCAGATGGTTACGGTTTGTTTCCTTATGCAGCAGTTTCCTCCTCGCACTGATAACAGAAACACTGATTAACACCAGGCTGGTTTCATGTGACGCACTCACAGACCTTGAGGCAGATCCTCAGGGAGCTGGAGAAAGACGTCTCACTCTGATTAAAATACAAAATCAGAAGTTGTTTTTAATGATCCTAATATCAGTAGATCTTCTATCAGTGTTACAGCTGTGTAGGTGAAGTGTTGTGACTCAGTGGTGACGGTGCTCTGTGGCCACTCAGAGGTCACCAGAGGTCAGGTGGGAAACACACATTAACATTATTATATCCCTCAAAGACACATGAAGACAGACTTAAAGAATAGAGACTAAAACTGATTCTTCTGTTTTCATTCACCAACTGACCTGGTTTGTTTTGTGGTCATGTGATTTGATGTGTGTATTTACATCACAGCTCTCAGAGTCCGACTGTAAATGTGAAAAAGAAGTTTCATGGAGCCGTTTGTGGCTCTGGAGGAAAGTGTGTGAGATGAGTCTGTTAAAGCGTGAACAGAAAACTGCTGTGCTGAGAGAGAGCTGAGTGTTGAGGTTGAGTTGCATTGTGGGTAACAAGGACAAAGAATGTGTGCAATAAAAGATAAAAGTGTGCAATGCGAGCAGTGAATCAGGAGACAAACTGAAAGTCTCAGAGGACGAGTCTCGTTCACTTCGTCCGATTCTTCCAGAAACTTTCACTGAAGAGTCAAAAACATATGAAAGAACAACAAGAAGATTTATAACGTTCACTTATATAATTATAACATCAGGTGCTAATATGAGCTCTCCATAACCACACAAAAATAAATGAAATTAATAATTAATATCACAAACACTAATAAACAATAACACCAAAGTATAAACTCTGAAAATCATCGGTTTGACTCTCAGCTGCTGAACTTCTGTTTATAAACGGAAACGATTGTATTTCATCTTTAAACGGTTTGAGTGTGTGAACCTGCTGCTGAGTGTGAATCACTTCATGTGTCAGAGGAAAGTTTGAACTGAAGATGAGTGAGCGATGACACCGACACCGTGACGTGTAGCGACAGCAGTGACAGCACTCGGTCCAGCGAGGCAGCGACAGACGGACTTTACTCTTCAACACGACTATAAAACCTGCGAGCGTCCGTCAGCTCGTCACAGTCCTCAGACAGAGAGAGAAGAGACGAGCTCTGAAGGTAAAACATCATTATTTAATATCTTCGTGTTTAAATGACCTCTTAATTGATCTTAATTAACTTATTCTTTATCCAACAGTTAAGTTCCAGTTCAGTCATGAAGGTTCTTGTGGTTCTCGCACTTTTCTCTGGTGAGTGAGTTTTCTCTTTTGGATCCATGTGAACCTCAGTAACTGTCTGACCTCTGTGACCTCTGACCTCTGTGACCTCTGACCTCTTCTGCAGTTTGCAATGCCAACATCCTGTGGCAGGAGCCGCCCAGGAGCAAGCTGCAGGTGGTGGAAGAGGCTTTCTGGGACTATGTTGCTAAAGCGACGCTGACAGCTGGAGACACAGTGAAGCAGATCAGAGCGTCGGAGCTGGGACAGGAAGTCAGGTGAGCAACGACTGGATGAAGAAGCTGAATGACATCAGAGACAAACACCTTTCACTTACTGACCATTTCTTTTCTGTCTCGCAGCGCAAAGATCTCTCAGAGCGCCGACACCGTGAACCAGTACGTGGTCGCTGTGCAGACTCAGGTGGCTCCTCTCACCCAGGACTTCATGACCCAGTTTACCCAGGAGTCCGAGCAGCTGAAGGCCCGTCTGGAGAAAGATCTGACCGCCGTGAGCGCCGGCCTGAAGCCCTACGCCGAGGAGCTGGTGGCACGCCTCCAGAAGCAGGTGGAGGAGCTGAGGAGGGAGGCGACCCCCTACGCTGAGGCCATGGACCCAGAGGCCCTGAAGGCCGTGCTGCTGCAGAAGAGCCAGGAGCTGAAGGGCCAGCTGGACGTGAGCGTGCAGCAGCTGCAGGCCCAGATGGTTCCCTACACCCAGGAGATGAAGCAGAAGATGGAGCAGAGTCTGGAGGAGTTTCAGACCAGCATGATCCCCCTGACCCAGAACTTCCAGACCCAGCTGACGCAGAAGACCCAGGAGCTCCAGCAGAACCTGGCTCCATACGGAGAGGAGCTGAAGGACAAGCTGGACACCGACGTCCAGAACCTGAAGAAGCAGCTGGCTGCTCTGTGGGAGTCCTTCACTCAGCTGACCCAGTAAACAGACCGTCTGCGGCTCAGACCTCCACAGAAGATATTTATTCAAACTTTAACCAGTGTTCATTTTATTAAATAAAACTTGATGATGAAGTTCTGTGTCGCAGGGTCGTGTTGTTTTACACAGTTTGTAATTAAAAGCTTCACCACAAATCTACCATGATGAATACCGACTCACACAAAGGAAAAAAAAATATACATTCACACACTAGTTCTTCCCATAATGCACTGCAGCACCATGTCTCCCTCGTGCTTGAACAGACACTCAGGACCCTGTTCAGAGAGACGAGCTGAGGATTTGATGCTAACACAAAAACAACAGACGACAAACTCTGAAAACATGAAGGGAATTTACTGGAAAGTCTCTCAGGAGTTCTGTGGTTCATCATTGTGTTTAATAATGTTCTGAGACTTCGTTCAACAGTATCTGGGATCTGTGGTTCAAACTCTAAACAGACTTGAATTCAAAATAAAAGCACTTCCTGCTGAGACTCAGAGTCCAGCTGAGACGAGACGGACTGAAGCAAACGACCGAGACGTGAGGTTTTTGTAAGAAATGGTATTTATCAGTTTCCCAGAGGTATATACAGTCATATATACTGATCCAAATGTATGTAACATAAAAAAAAGGCAACAAAACAAGTGATGATTGTGAAAGTGACATACAGCACACTCCCTCCTGTTAACTCGTTACTCCAACAACACATGACGATGATTTCATCCACTGCAGCTCAGACAGAAACAGACTTTACAGTAAAAAAGAATAAAATCCAAAACAAAAGGCGACAGGCTGAACTCAGAGAAAGAGCTCTGTGGTTCTGTAACGTTACTACGAGTCACACCGATCACATTCTGTTACACTTCTGACCAATCAGGCGATTAGAGGGTTAAAGTCGTTAGATTTACATTATTACCTTTCATCAGTCTAGAGGAAAACAACGTCACGGTTAACGGCCCAATCCGCTGAACAGGTGGTGGACAGTCCGAGGTGATGGGACACAGTAGTGTGGAGCACATGGCAGAGTCTGTTCGTCCAGAGTGAGTCCGTCCGTCCGTCCGTCCGCAGGTCGTCGCTCAGTCCGTCTAACCGATGGTGACACCGAAACCGCACTGGAACTTGTTCTTACGGTGGTTGAGGAAGGAGCAAAGGACCAGAGAGAGCGGCAGAGGGAGCAGCTTCTTTTCTAATGTGGCACCGACTATCCAGTTACTGTCTACTGAACCTGCCAGACACAAACACCAAGTTAGATCTGCTTTATTAAAAATAAGAGATAAAAACACTGAATATGTGCAGACATGTCTGTTCACTGTTTCTTCTTATAAAAACACGAGGTGAAAACTGAATGACGGTCTGCAGAAGCTGCTTTAAAAACAGGGCGACAGTCAGGAAAAGTTGCTGCTTATGTCTTTTAAAGGATGAGGTGAAGCACAGTAACAAGCTCACTTCTGTGTTGGGTTGGGTTGGGGGGGGCCTCAGGTAGTTCTGATGTTACATTTCAAAATAAAACGCTGCGGGACAGAAAACGTGTCGATCATTTCTTGGCAGCGAGCAGAAACTTCCTGACGTCTTGTTCCTTCCTTCCTGTTGACCTGTTTACAGTCATTATGCTAAGCTAACTGTATCCTGCTTTGTATTGAGCAGATACAGCAGGTACAACGCTCAGCACGACAGAATTAAATCATTTATATACAATAAATATAATTAATGAAAAACATGTGTCACCCCCTTTAACCAGACGACGACGTCTCGCTCCATTCAAGTGTCGACTATCAACTTTACAGTAAACAAAACAAAAAACTGTTGCCTGGATGAAAGAATATATAACGATATTATTATTATTGTATATAACATATATAACGAGGCATGTTCCAGGTCAATAATTCTCATTGCAGTAATGGACGTAGATGTAAGTGCTCCCACCTTTAAACTGTAGGTTGGCTTTAGGAACATCTAGCTGGTAACCGAACGACACACTGGTGTCCTGCATGCGAGTGCTCGCCTCGAACTCCACGCCGAGCTGCAGCTGTGGAGGACAGGAGGACGGAGTCAGGGCGGGAGGGAAACATGAAACAGTCTGATGAGCGGAGAAGGTGAAGGAGGTCGTCACCTGGTCGTTGGCTTTGTGGTAGTATGAAGCGTGAGCTCCCGCTGAGCCGAGCGTCATCGTGGCGATGTAGTTACTGCCTGTGGAGGGGGAGGGGTCCGAGTGAAACCTCCAGCTCTATCAATCCAAACTACACAGTCACAATAACCTGTGGCTCACCTGTGTACCTGCCCACGAATGACATCACAGCCCCCTCCTCTCCTGGTCTGCGGTGGTAAACCAGCTCCCCCCCCAGGGCCAGAGCCGGCGTGACAGACTGGAGGTAGTGTGTTACAACAATACCTGACACCAGGGGTACAACAAGGGGACAACAAGGGGACAACAAGGGGACAACAAGGAGACAACAAGGAGACAACAAGGGGACAACAAGGAGACAACAAGGAGACAACAAGGGGACAACAAGGGGACAACAAGGGGACAACAAGGGGACAACAAGGGGACAACAAGGGGACAACAAGGGGACAACAGGGAGACAACAAGGAGACAACAGGGAGACAACAAGGGGACAACAAGGAGACAACAAGGGGACAACAAGGAGACAACACGGGGACAACAAGGAGACAACAAGGGGACAACAGGGAGACAACAGGGAGACAACAGGGAGACAATAAGAGGTGTTCAGGTTCAGATAATTTCTGTTATGGTTGAATTATAGAACTGTAAAAACATTTAAAATATGTTTATACAAAGATTTAAGGGTGACTGACTGACTGACTGACTGACTGACTGACTGACTGACTGACGACCTACCAGAGCCGACGAGGACGTCTGGGTTTCCCAGTGTAATAGTTGCAGTGAAATCTTCTCCCCTGAACTCGGCGTCTCCCTGCCAGTTCACAAACTTGTTCTGTTGAGTCTAAGGACAGAGAGTTTCAGAGTTTCACATCACAACACAAAAGATACTGGAGGTTTAAAGTTGATACCAATATCAACTATTCAAATCAGCTGATCATTTGTTATTTTTACATAAACATACAAACAATTTCGATAAAGATCTTTTTAATTTGTGGTTTATGAGACATTGTAAAAATATACTTTCCAGCGCTCTCACGGAGCGGCTTTGACACGAGGACACTGTTTCTGAATTTATTACACTTTAATAAGACGAATCTGTGCTAAGCTCATTCAAGCTCTTATTAAAATCATGCATAGTGAGAAAAAGAAAGAAAAGGAAAAACAGAAATAACCTAGCAGAGTAAACACGTACTATAATCAGAGTATGGAGGAAATGATATTAATAAAATGAATCATTAACTGACCTGGAAGGCCACTTTGGATCGTATGCTGCTGCTGATCTGGTGGATGATCTGGGCGTTAAGGCTGCCACTGTTGTCCATGTCTCCCACCATGACTGGAAAAAACTGAACAGAAACAGCAGCTCATTAGTTTTACAGCTCAAAACATAAAGAAATATAAATATAAATGTCTTACAGATAATATCACATGACTTCACTGCTGCTCACCTCTGCTGGACCCGTCTGCTTTGCTCCAACATACGTAGCACCGAACCTGTAGGTGGAGTCACCCATGGTGCTCAGCAGCACCGTGTGATTCACCTTAAAGGAAGTTCAGACAGTTTCAAAAATGGACCGTGAACACGTTTGCAGTTTCCTTTCTTTGGTCTGAGCCACAGTGGAACTGCTGAGACGCACTCGGTTCATTTCATCCAACACTGTCCAGAGTTTTTAAAGTTCAGTGGATGTTTTCCAGAATCCCACAGAAAAACCTGAGCTATGAAGACGTCATTACACTTCATGAATCTATGTACAAGCAATTATTCAAAGTGACGTGTACAGGGAAAAAAACTGGTAAACGTCTGTTCCCTGTTGGTAAAAAGTTCTAGTGTAAAAGGAACTGGACTGACCTGGAAGTGGTTGCTAAGGCCTTTGTTGACAACTAGCCTGACACCCTCCATCTGCATGGGGAAAACCTCTGAGGAGAAACATATCAGATGAGGTTCATTCAGGTACACTCAGGTATTTTTGATGTGAACTTGCTTAGTTCTCTCCATTTACCTTTACATTTGCGATGACACTCGTCAAACGCTCCGGGGTTAGGTAGAGAGTTTTCTGCCTCCTGCTCCTTTCCGGCTGCTGCCCCGGTAGGGGGTATAACTGAGGAGACCGGAGGCATCCCGAAGCCCGGCGGCACCGTCAACCCGGGGGCAGCAGCACCGCCGGAGGTTGGTGGCGGAGGGTTGGGAGAACTGGCAGCCAAGACACTGCCCATGCTGAGAAGACAGGGAGGAATGGAAGGGAAAGGGATAAAGAAAGAGAGAAGGAAGGAGAGGGACTTAAACAAGGAGAGAAAACCATGGGAGTCAACAAACTCTTCTAAATGACTACAACTGAAGAACTTTAGAACGGTGAAACATGAAGAGACTTCAATTCTGTGTCAGGTGGTAGAAACGGGACATACACAGATTTATTCACTCAACAAGTCACAGCAGCTGAACGTCTGAAGACTTGGTCAGAGCCGATTAGTCGATTATTTGAACTACAGAAAATTTATTGGCAATTATTTTGATAAATCAATCAATGGAATATTTTATTGAGCTCTCTTGTTCCCACTCCTCCAATGTAATGATTTTCTGTTTTACATAATCGCAAAGTGAATATTTTGGGATTTTAGACTTCAATAACTAATCAATTACTCAGGAAATCATTGACTGTTTAAACAATAATTAAAATAATCATTAGTTGTAGAACTAGACTTGGGTGTATAAGGGTAAAAACACCAACGTAAAGTCAATATAAATCTAGTCTATATCCATTAAATCTGAGTCTAATCATCTTGAATGATGGACTTTGGTTACCATGGCAACCATATCTGTTTGTTATTTAAGGCACTTGTGAATTATCAAGAGCTGAGTCAGATGAATCAGAAATTCAGTTTCCAAATCACAATTACTTGGATCTTGATGTGAATGATAATTAAAAGTCAGAAAATGCTAATTACATTAACTCCCATATGACATGAACAGGGTAAAAGAGGGAAGTAACAATCAACGCAAATAAAGGCTAAATTATATACAATAATTACATAACATAAATAAAGAATATAAAATATGAATAAATAGTGGGGAAAAAAGAGACTAAGGATAGAATATACAGTGTTCAATGGTAGTAATAGACTATAATAGACTATACATTAGTGCAACTCAGCTGAATATGTTTATATAGAGGCGCACAAACCTTCAACAGATGTGATTATTATGTGATAAATAAAAGTCCACATGAACAGTCTGTCCTGTTAAAATGGAGATCTATTATCTTATATTATTGTCATTGTTCAGTGTAGAAAGCTTATTTTACAGCTACAGACTTTATCAATAAACTGAGTCACAGGCCACAAGCTGAGGAGAATCTGCTGAGTAAACTGATCTTCATGTGTGAAATTGGTGGAGTGTCCCTTTAACCTTTCCCACATCATGTTCATTCATTTGAAGGTGGAGGAGGAAGCAAACACCGGCTGCCGTAAAGCAAAAAAATAACGTTATATGACGGGAATCAATTAGAAAACAGTGGCCGCTAAGTTCCCTGTTTATTAAATGTATTTAATGTTTTGAATGAAAGCTAGTATGAAACGTTAGCTAAGCTAGCTCCTTGCTACCGTTGGGTTTAGCCTCTGAACCAGCAGCTAACAGCCGTAAAACAGACCGCTGCTGCTGCTGAAGGAAAACGAACATTAGCTTGTCAGATAAAAGCAGCTAACATAACAACATGTTCCCGGTGAAAATTAACGCTTTATAAAACACCGCGCCAACGTCTGCTACTCACGTTGTGATTTCCAGAGGACGATGCAGCCGGAAGATGAATCCAGTTGCACCAAAGAAGAAGACACGAGTGACGCATACGGCCCGCCTTTTTTCTCTAAACGCGTTTTGATTGGATAACGGGCCGTGACCCGCAGAAATGATTGGCAGAAACACCTGTCAGTCATTTTATGTAGCTGAAGAATCAAAGGCGTGGCTTCATATCGATGCCGTAATGTTCCTGCTCAAACACTATTGGCTGATTGGAGTGAGGTTTGATGTAAAGGGGCGGGACGTAAAATTCTGAGCTCAGTGATTGGTGGAGAGCTGAGACGTCAGTGGGTCGCTGTTTGAAGGGCGGGTGTAGTGAAATGTTTATATGAAATACCTTCAAGGTCAAATGGCAGCAAGAGTCAGTCTGTTTGATTTGTAACTGACAGTCTCTCTCTCTCTCTCTCTCTCTCTCTCTCTCTCTCTCTCTCTCTCTCTCTCAGCAGCAGCTTTTACAGAGATCTTAAAGTTTTCACCAGTCTAATGGTGGACAGTGTACATACCTGTAATAATGATAATAAATACTTTATTTATCCCATTGGTGGAAATTTAAATTGTCCACTATAAAATATATATATATACATATATATATACATACATACAGTTTATATTTACATATGTATGTGAAGGAGTAAAGATGTTAATCCCACTGCCAATCTGTAAACTGACAGTTTTTTTATTCAACTGTCACCAAAAACCCAATAATGAGCTTCATAGGTTTAAGTTCAGCGATACTGTGTCAGAATTTACAGCTGTATTCTTGTGTTTATGTCTCTGTTATTAACTTAATAATTTCCTTTAAAAAGGTTTTCTATTCTTTTGATTTGTAGTTTTAAGTTTATGCAACTTTTCCTTATTTGTGTTTCTAACGCATGATGTAAAACCCTTTAAGTTCTTTTTATGGAAGGACAAGAAATGACAAGTACAAATAAATGCAGAATTATTTGGATTTATAAAAGCAAATAGCATTTTTCATTTTCAAAATGTATTTTGGTATTTACTGTATATTTATTTAAAAAGTGACATTAATAAATATATACACTTGTCACTTTTTGTCCTTCATACTTTTCTGTATGAAATCTGCTATACAAATTAACACACACACAGATCACCTCTGCTGGAGCTTTCAGGGTCCTCAAGAATTTGGACAGGCCATCAGGTAATTTCAGATCTATTTAAACCATGTGGCAAAAGATAAAATCAATCAATAAAAATAAATCAATCAGAGGAAAAATGAAGAGCCGACAGACGATGTTAATTTCTGTTCAATTTATTGAGTTTTACAGCCCCTGCATGTATTTCAGTTGAGGACAGAGGGATGAACACAGGTTGCTGAAACACCTTGTGCCACATTTTCATAAGGAAACAGGGAACAAAAAAACATTTTTGCAGTTCCACCCAATCAAAATCTTTACTGAGTTTTTTAACCTAATGGCACAATAGAGAAAAATTATGGGACAATGACGCAGGAAAATAAGTTATCAATTCCCAAAACATCATGGAGTCTGGTTCTAGGCTCGATAGAATTTCAAGTCCAAAATGATGCAGGGTCACCGAGGAACCAACAACTACAAACAAGACAACTGAAATACTGACTACAGAAGGGTTTTGTTGAAAAGAAAGTTTTAAGTTTAACCAACATTTTTTTTTTTTCATGCCAATTCAGAGTCATTCTGTATGACAACTCCTTTCTATCCCTGTTCTAGAGAAATACTGCTGTAATATCCTCAGCTGAATTCAAACCATAACATTTGAGCTGATTCAGAGTCGTGACATCACTGTGTTCTGAGTGATGCAGCGACGAACTGCTGCGACCGGATCCTCCGTTTACATCAATCTGCTGAGCTCATCATTACATTTGGCTCAAATGGAGCGTGGGCGAGTTTCCGTCAGTGCAGCAATTCAATTTAGATGTTACTGGCAATTCAGACATTTATAATATTTAATTTAGTTTTTGAATTTCGCCAATTAAGAATTTGCAGAGCTCGAAGGAGAAATGATAGAACTGCTGTTCTGTACCCGACTCCCCTCCTCATTTATCTTTTTTTTTTTTTTTACTCTTTTAAACAAGTTTCTGACAAATATCCCTCCCTCCCCCCGTGAGCACGACAGACCTGACAGGTCAGCGTGCACACACGTGCGCACACGTTCACACACGTGCGCACACACACACACACACACACACACACACACACACACACACACACACACACACACACACACACACACACACAAAGACCAGATGACAAAATCAACTGAGTCACTCAACATTCATAACTGCATTGATCAGAATCTCCTTTGTGACCACAGACTCATTCTGAGAGTTCACCCCATCAACAAGTTTAATTTAGATTAAAGAAACTCATTTTTTTGGTTTTATTTCATTTGCTCCGGCCAACGATTCCATCAGTTTTAACATTTCTCTCACTACAACTGTGATCCTTAAACTTTTTTTTAAGCAACATTAGCTCTTCCTGAGATCTCAACAATTACTTAGGTGAGTGAAATGTTAGAACAGACAGGGAGGCTGCTCGGAGGAAATAAAATAAAGCTGAAGTTGCATCAAGGGGAGTTTTCTTTACAGGGTCGAGCATGTTCCGAGTCAATCAGGCAAAAGTCTGACGTCTAATATAAAATATAATAAAAGCCCATTTGAAAAGTCAACATAGGAAAAATAAAAATCCACAATCACTTCCAGCAGGTCTCGACAGGTTTAGCTCTAAATCTGTCTGATCTTTGCTTTCTGTCAGAGACGTGATCAACAACAAAACATCAAGGACAGAAAAGTGGGAAATGTCTCATTGGAAATGAAATTCATGTCCACAAACTCCTGGAGGAGGAAAGAGATGGAAAAAGAAAAACGACAAAAATCTCATCCCTGACGAGCGTGAACTCTCACACAGATGTTCGAGACGTCGTACAACAGAAACACAAGACGAGTCTGAGACCTGACGTACAACTGCTACGCTCACATGCAGCCACAGACTGTTCACAGGACACTTTTATTATTATTATTATTATTATTATTTCAGATTAACTGCCACATCATGAGAAACGAGGTCGACTCCAACTTTAATGAAATCTGATTTTTCAAAAACGAGATTTTAGTCCAGACGTGAGTTTCGCTGAAGCTGCATGTAAACGTAGAGAATCTAAACAACACAGCCTGTCTCTCTCACACACACACCCTTTATCACTTTAAGACACACACACACTCTTCAAACACACACCCTCAAACAGTTGCCTGCACCTCCCTCTCTCACACACACACACACACACACACCTTTCCTCATGTGCACACACACGCACACCACTTTTTTGGTTTTGCTTCAATGTAAATCCTGAAAATCTATTTCAAGGGAAAAAAGGAAACAAAATAAATTCGACCTCCTCCACCCGTGAAGCAAAGTATTTTCTTTTTTTTTCTTTTTTTTTTTTACAACTGTAAACGACTAGTGTAAACAATGAATCATTTACAATTTTGTCTCCTCAAAATGATTCATAACACCTCGTATAAAGATTGCCCTGGGGGGGTGGGGGGTGGATTGAGCTGCTGAAAACAAATCACAGCACTTTGATCATCTGTCACAGGTTCAAGAAGATCACAGTGCTTCACCGCTTCCCTCAAACTCTCTCCTGTAGAACTCGGCGCTCTCTCTGGCACTTAAATCGTCAAGCTAACGAGGTGTTGGAGGGAAAAACCACTTTAAATCAAAGTTTCTGCCGCTGCTTTAAGAACCAGAGAGAGGGAAAGACTCAAGACGCCCAGAGAGCGTCTGATAAAAACACTTGGCTTCTGCAAAAATAACCCAAAATCCTCCAGAAGTTTCCCAGTGCTGAAGCCTCACAGAGCCAAACTGCTTTAAGCAACATCAAAAATAAATCTGAAAAAGCAAAAATAATCTTTTTTTTTTATGTCTTTTTGTTTTTTTTTTTTAATCATTAGTGACGCTCTGTACGGGGAGGACAAAAAAAATAAAATAAAATAAAAAAAAACTCACAGCTGCCTGTTCAAAGATGCTACAATTCTGCTTTCAAACAGAGCCCGCCCCTCACAAAAGATAATTCTCACATTTTTATCATTATGAAACAAAGCTGTGCCGGGGAGGGGGGGGGAGGCAAAAAAATAAAAAATAAAAATAAAAAAATAAAATAAAAAGATATCGCTGCTGCTGCCAAAAGAAAACGGACATTTCTTCTGATTTTCGTCGTAGTTCAATTGAAGGGGAACGTGTCGTTTACAGAGCGAGCAGATTTCATGACATCGTTTCTTTTCTTGTTTTTTTATTTCTATAATTTGCTAAAAACAGTTTTGCGTTTCTAACGCAGCAGCAGCGATACAAACGACAACTGTCTAATATGCTTAAGAGCTCGGCGTTCAACCACTGGGCTGCAGAGTTTACATTGGCAACTGATACATTCACCAACTTCTATTCTGTCAGGATGGGGCTTAAGAAAAGAAAGTTTTACCTCAGGATTTGCAAAAAAAAGAAAGAAAAAAAGCTTGTTTTATAAACCTTATATTTCCACGTTAAGATGTGGGAGGAAAAGAAAGTGGCAGAAAATTCAAACTATTGTTTTGCACCAACTTCAACATAAACCCTGTGAATCTTCTTCTCCTGACACAATGAGACTCGCTCATCTGTCGCCAAGGAAACGGCAAATGTTGCGATCAAAGCTGTTTTGAAGCGTCGCAGGTTTTCATCACCAGCTCCAGAAGCTGATGGATTTTACAGTTTCACCAGCCAAATGTGATTTTTGTTACGTAAGAGAATCTTCAAACAACAGCGACTGTCTGCAGGCAAGTGTCCGCCGACAGCCGTCCGATTCCCATGGCGTCTGTGTGGTTGTAAGCTAACATCCATGACTCAGTACGAGGGCTCGTGTCTTCCCATTTTAACTCTGCTCATGTTTTATTCATAGTGAAAGGGAAAAACAGTCACGCAGTATTTAAATAAAGCTGCCCTTTTTTTATTGCAACGTTCACATTAAAAATAAACGTTCACATTCAGGATGTTTGAGGAGTT